AGCACCCAGTCACAAGTTGAACACCGAAAGTGTTCCTTATTTTTTTCCATTTGGCCGAATGACACCCAGTATACTTCTGAGCACTTAGTTTTGTAATACATAAATAATAATGCAAGATAAATAGCCAAGTAAAATTATTATGGCAAACAGGACTAAAATTTCATATTCAGTAGTTCATATCTTACTATGAAAATGAACTTAGTTCATATAATAGTAATGTGATGAAAATATAAAAACAATAATATTTGAAAACTAAGCTAGGTAGATATTTACATGGGCTTTGTTAGGGTAATATCCCAAACTCACAAAAGCCTTCTTACTAACAGTGTTCAAAATTAGTAACAGTCCTCTTCTAATTTGGTTTATTTGACCTTGTCATTAAGGAGAAAAATAATCAGTTCCCATAATTCATCACTGGTGCACTCCTCTGGGGGCAGATTAAATTAAATGGTGTTGAATATGCATAAACCTTATATACAGTACAGCTTTTATTCATGCTATCACTATAACCTATTATGTATTTGTATTACAGTAGCATCTAGGAACCCTTATAAAGCATCAAGACCTCTCTGTCCTGAATGCAAGTATAGACACTGACCCAGAGAGGTTACAACCTAAGGCATAAGCACTCCTGACGATAATGCACTAGTCACACTGGCATTTATCATGGGAAAACTTTTGTTTTTCAGGAGAGGGGGAGGAGGTTTAGCATCTCTGAACAACAGAAGTTTTGTTGTTCAACTGCCGGCACAGACATAGCCTCCATGTCAGTCAGGTGAACTAACCAGACAAACAGGATGCAGGAGAGTAGAAAAAAATGAAGTCTCAGCTTGCCACTTTCCTAACCAGTGCCAGATGGCAATTTATGTAGGTATCACAGCAACACCAATGAAGAATTAAGGGTCCAAACGTTGCATGTGCAGATGCAGTCTTGGAGTCTGTCTTTAATTTTGGGGTAGCAGTCACACAAAAGGCTCTAGAGCAGTGGTCTCCAACCATTTTAACCACAAGATCACTTTTTCAATTTAAGTGCAATGTAAGATCTACCTCAAACCCAGATATCCTTGCCCCACTTCCTTTCTAACCCTTCTTTGAAGCCCTGTCCCTGATCCATCCCTTCTCCATGGCCTCACCCTGCTCACTCCATCCCCCCGCCTTACTCACTTTCACCAGGCTGGGGCAGGGGGCTGGGGTGCAGGCTCTGATGCAAGCTCTGAGAAGGAGTTTGGGTGTAGAGGGACTCATGTCTTGGGCAGGAGGTTGAGTGCAGAAGATTCAGGGCTGGGACAGGGGTTCAGGATGCACGATCTAGCTCAGCACCATTTAACTGAGACAGCTTCCTGGTGGTGGAATAGTGGAGTGAAGGCAGGCTTACCCTGCCCTGGCCCTGCACCACTCCTGAAAGCTGCTGGCATGTACAGTAATGGCTCCATTCGATGCCCCTCATCTACAGGCTCTGAGCCCACAGCTTCCACTGGCTACAGTTCCCCATTAGTGATCATGGGAGCTGCAGGCAACAGCAGCATGTTGTCTGCAGGTAACAGCAGCATGTGAAGACCCCCTGCTTTGATTTTTCAGGGGCAGCAGGGACACGCCAGTGACTTCCAGGAGCAGCAATTTCCACAGGGATAACTACTCCAGCCACAATAGGTTAGGCATTTCAGAACTCAAAGAATTACATTTAAGCGTAAGAGAAACGAAAATTATGAAATGCACAGACCAGTTTTAAACCAAACACAATACATTTTGCAAGCAGTAAATGAAATAACAACAACCCCCCACGTATGTGTTGGGTCAGGAGATGAGAGTGAAAGACAGTGTGTGTTTGTAAGAATGACAGAGACACACACAGTGTGTGAGAGTAACAGAAATTTGCATTGCCAAGCTCTCTCCATCCCCTTCTCTCTGTGTAGATAGGGTATAGAAGTGGAAGGAAATGGGACACTCTGACATCAGAGCCCTCCCTCTTCTCCTGCCCACACCCAGAACAGCAAGCAGGAGGCTTGGGGGCTGGGAGGGCAGCTCCAAAGCAGAGAGCAGGCGCAGCATGACAGTGAGTAGAGGGGCAACTGAAGTACCAGTGCTTGATAGCTTCCCGCCAAACCAGTCGGGATCACCTGTCAGAGGCTCCAAGATCTACCGGTTGGTAACCACTGCTCTACAAAGACAAGCATGATCTAGTTTTCTGAAAACAGAAAAAAAGAGCCAAGAACTCTTTGCATTTCAATCCCAGTTCTGTCACTGACTCTACATAGATTTACCTAAATTATTCTTCGTGCCTTACTTTCCACCCTATATAAAATCAGAGTAACACCGCATACTGCCTTAACATAGATTTCATAAGAGCTGAATAATATTTGTAAAAGCACTTTTTAGATGAAGTGTTAAGTATTATTAAAAGTAAAATCTACTTTCAAATTTTGCTACCTGTGAGTGGTGTGACACTATCTGCAAATCATATATTTTAAATTTATTATTCACATTATATTAATGCTTAAAAAGCACAACCAGATTCCCTAGATGGTAGCAACATTTAATTTCCTGAGAAAAAATGACAATGTCATAAACAGACAGAAAAAAGGACATCATTTACTAAGGCACTAACCATGGAATTTAGTTTTCATCAGTTCTTAATTTCTTCTAATTATAGGTTTTCACAGGAGCCTAAGAAGTAAGCCAATAATTATAATAATCTTCATTATTCCATTCTCTGAGGTTCCCAGTACAATTCATCTATTCATCCATTACCAATGTTTTATCTTCTTACAGACTGTAAACTCTCAAGGCACAGATATTCTGTATTTTGATTCTTACTTAATTCTGAACCTATTAATCAGTGCTACCATCTTTATTTCTCAACAGATTATAACACATATACACAGATTATAAAATTTGCCATCCACACTTTACTACTGAAACAATGAAACCAACTCTTAGGAGAAGAAAATTAGTTCCCATAGAAACACATCAAAGTGTTCTAGCATCAGTAATTTACTCCTCCATCTTCCAAATCAGAGAGAACATGTGTGGGGGAAATTTGTAAACAATCCTCACTCATTTCTGATAGTGACAGAGATGTAGCCGTGTTAGTCTGGTGTAGCTGAAACAAAATACAGGACTATGTAGCACTTTAAAGACTAACAAGATGGTTTATTACCAAAGGATATATATATATGGTTGTGACTATTTTCTTCCACTATTTGATCTGAGGAGTGGGTCTGGCCCACGAAAGCTCATCATCTAATAAACCATCTTGTTAGTCTTTAAAGTGCTACATAGTCCTGTATTTTGTCTCACTCATTTCTGGCAGCCTTTAAAATGTAAGTGTAAAACCTATAGAAACTGAACACAGCACTTATCAGCTGTATTGAAAAGGAGCCTTGGGGTAAAATGCAAGATCTTCACAAGAGCTTTGATTGTTAAAAAAAATTACTTTTCATAAAAGAGATAAGTACTTCATTATTTTTAGAGAGGAAGAACTTCTAATGCAAAAGAAATGTCTGTTCAACCTAATAAAAACCACAAACCTGAAACATTTCCCCATCCACTGCCCATTCTGTTGTTAAGGTTCTATTTTCAGTTACTGTGGTTTGAAACTTTTTTGCAGTACCCAGCTGCTCACTGTGATGTGAGCTAAATAAAATGAACAAAATCAAAGATTGTCTCTCTCCTGCTATACTATGCAAGAGGTGCTTACACTGGAGAAGACTAAATCCCAACCCCATTCCCCAGAGAAAACTTCAAAGAAGAGGGGGAAAAATCTCTCAGGTAAGGTTTCCAAGTTGACAAATGAAACAGACTAGAGGTGGAACTGATGGGCTGCATCATGGTCTCATACGGTCACATTCTGCCCTTTAAATCACTCACAAGCAGCCACAAACATTACCTCACTAAACACTTCAAATCCCAGTCATGTGTTCCCCAGGCCATTCCCCTCAGGTTACTGCTCACAAAAGCCCCCAAACTGCTCCCTAGAGTTCCTCCCCAGGACTCTCTCAATCAAGGGCACACCCTTACCTGCTCCTTCCCTGAGAGCTCCCCCACCCCGCCATCAGAGGCACCCCCTATGTTTTCCCCTTAGACTCCCTCTCCCTCCCCAAGGACATATCTCATCTTTTCCCTGCTCCCTTCCTGCACTCCCCCCCAATCAAGGGCACCCCCTAGCAGCGCTCCCCCCAACCAACGCCCCCTCCGCCTGCTCCCTTCCTGGGTTCCTCCCAAGCAAGGGCGCCCCACCTGCTCCCTCCCTGGGTCCAGCGGAGGGCAACCAAAATGATTGGGGGGCTGGAGCATATGACTTATGAGGAGAGGCTGAGGGGGTTGGGTCTGTTTAGTCTGCAGAAGATAGGAGGGAGGGGGGATTTGATAGCAGCCTTCAATTTCCTGAATG